GGAAGCCGGCTTTGTGGGATCACAGCCTCGCGAGCCATTCGTGTCCCTTCCCTGCCCTGATCCGCCTCCTTGATTCATCATTTCGTTACTCCTCTGCGCCCCGCACATTAGGGAAGCGAACGAGATCTTGTAAACGTCAAAGAAGAAATGCCCCTGATGCCACTCAATCATGTTGCCTACAGACACCCTTTGTTGCTGGCCTGAATGAAAAAAAAAATCCAATCCAATCCTGCTCCCCTCCTTTGCAGAAAAGGATAAATTAAAAAGAAAAGAAATCAGAGCAGGGCAGAGCTCGCTGTCAGCCTGTAACTCTCAACACATCACTAAGATTTATTAATCTTCCCACTAAAAGCCGCCATTAAATGCTGTAATCAGGAAAAATGCTTAAGGCTTCAAGGACACTGGAGTTAAACTGTTATTTGTCTCAACTGTTGACTTTAAAATGTCCCCTTCGTATCTAGGGAAAAGAAATTCGGTGATAATAATAAGATTTCCCCGGCGCTGGGTTTGCTTGCTCCCAGCTCCAGCGAAACGCCCTTGCATCGGGCGAGCAAGAACGGAGCTGGAATTCGTAGGTGCAAGTTGCGCAGCCCCCAGACCAAGCCGGGACACCCCTGTGTGCCCCCCTGCGGCTCGGGGAAGGCGATGATGCGATCTGGTTTGACATATTAAGGCTTTTCGATACAGAGCCTCGTGTTTGTTCTGCCAGAGCTGCTTTCTTATTTCTTAACAAAAAACAAAAAGAGACAGACCCAAAAAACTGTACAGAGCTGGGTCTTGTTTTAATGCAGAATTTTAATTCGCGGGGACAGAAAACGATTTTTATCCCTAACATGACGGGAGAAGTACAGTTGCTTTTGTTTGGGCGCTTTTTTTGTTGTTTTAAGTTTTGTTGTTAAACTTGATACAAAGTTTTCAACTTTTGTTTTTAGTTTTAGTTTTGTTTTTAAACTTTATTCAAATCTCCCTCTATCCATTCATTTCTTCTCTTAAAAAAGACTCAATTTTCTCTCCTGTTAGTCCTCCCCCTCCCTTTCCCCAGGACTAAAAGAGAAGATCTACGGAAATTTTACAGGGCGTTATCCAAATCCGTGGTAGACACCAGGCATGTTATCAATGCTGCCCAGGTACAGCGATTTTAATAGTCAGCGCCCAGAGCAATAAATGCCACGATTATTACGATTATTCAGTATTATTATTATTATAGGATTATTAGGATTATTGCAGTATATATCAAACGCGAATGAAACTCAAGGCAGAACTGCAGGCTGAACACACTCTCTCTATATATATATGTGTATATACATGTAACATACATATGTATGTATGTGTGTGTATATACATACACATATACATACATACATACACATACATATAATACATATAGTTGAACCTGCAGCTCTGCTTTGAGTTCCATATATTATATATATGGATATCCATATATGTGTGTGCTCCGCAGAGACCTCTTAAACAAGAGAGCATTTGGATCAAAGGGGCAGCTCTCGCCTCTGTCTGATCGCAGTGAATGGAAGAGATCCGGACCCTGACACCTTCCCAAAGGACTGAAGAGGAAGTGTCGGGATAACCCCCCACCCTGGCAGTCTGCGCTCAGATGCCACTCGGGTTTCAGGTCAGATCCGATCTGTGGCAGGGGCGCAGAGAGGTGTTAGAGGACCTGTTCCGGGACACTTGTAGTTTGCGGGCCAGATCCATGCATGCTTGGGCTGCTCCTTTCCTAAAGGGCCAGTGACAAGGGACCTGCAGTCCCTGTCCCTAAACCCACACCTTCTCGGTCGCAAGGTCACCGACTCTCGGGGACAGAGGAGGGGAAGCCTAGCCAGGCGCGGTCAGTAGGAGCGGGGAGGTGCTTCCCCGGGAGGCCGCAGCAGGGAATCGGCCCCCGGTCTTAGCCCCTCTGGCAGAGCAGAGCAGCCAGGGCTGGCCTGGCTTTAACAGTGAGTCCGACACAAACCAAAAGCAAAAGGCGCTTTCGTGCCCTGTGTTAGGACCGGGCATGCAAAGGGAATAAGAGATCCGGGCAGAGAAAACCAGACCGCTCGCCCTTCCCTGCAGCTCTTGACCTCTTCCAATGTAGGGTTACCCTGCCTCTTCCTTCCTCTTCTCTACTCCCGTCCCTAACCTCTCTCCATTACTCTCCCCGCTTCCCTTTCTGTATGAATTTCCCCCTGTTTCCCACATTGATCTTCACCCCACGCTCCTCTCCCTCGGCAGGAGGCACGGTTTCTTCCTGGGGGATCTGATCCACAACCCAGTGACCTCCTTCTTCCTAACCCTGAACTTTGCCAGTCCTGACACCTCACTCTCGTCTTGCGTGCAAGAAGGCCTTTCAGCTTTTCTCCCTTGGTTTCCTTTCCTGCTCGGCTTTTGCTTTCCACGGCTTTCTAAAAAATCTTCTCCATTCTCTAGCTCGTGCTAGGAAAGGAGCCCTCTAAATCCAGTAGGTAACACCGAGGGGTAGGGGAGCGATTGCTTTCGGCTTCTCTGGGGAGAAGAAAGATGTCCTTGGGGACTAGCTCCTTTGTTTAGAGGCAGAGGAGAAGAAAGAAGAGAAGAAAGAAGAAAAAAGAGGAAAGGAAAGGGCAAGGCAAGACAAGGCAAACAAGGAAAGGAAAGGAAAGGAAAGGAAAGGAAAGGAAAGGAAGAGAAGCGAAGCCGTAGTGAATCCGTGTGCCCGGGATACTCCTTGGCAGGCTCGGCCTAAGCCAGCACCGATCAAATCCAAAGAGAAAGCCTAGTAGAACAGAAGAGCCGACGAGCAGGCAACCCCCACGGAGTGACACCGGCGCTCCCCTCCCTTCCCCGAGCAGACCCGGCCGGCACCGCCCGACAGCCCATGCCCAGATCCCGCCCGCGGGGCTGCCCCGGCAAATCCATGTCAGCGGAGCGCAGGGTGCAGCGGAGGGCGCGCCCGGGGCCGCCACCAGCGCGGGGAAATCTCGGCCACGGCTGCACTGGCACCCGGCGGGCTGGCGGGGAGGATGGCACGGGGAAGGGGCGGCTGACCCGGACTCAGGGCTGGCTTTTTTTGCGGAGGGGTTCTCACGACCGCGCCGATAGCGATCTCCTTGTAGGCAAGAAGAGCCACCCCCCGCCCAGCCCTAGATGGATGGGCCCCTGCTCGCAGCACCTCGGTCCCCCGGCCCTTACCTGCGCTGGGCGGGCGCACGGGCAGCGGCGCGGCGCGGCTCTGCAGGCAGTGCAGCATGGAGTTGTCGAAGGGCCCCGCGGGCCAGGCGGGCGCCAGCTGCGGCCCCAC